AAGATAATCTAACCAGAATTCCTCTTTTGAATTATTTTATTTTTATCTAACAGGCATTCTTAGAAGGCTGATAATTTGTTTCACAAGAGAAAGTATGGTTATAAGCCTATTGATATAGATTACTACATTAACATCCTATTATCTGAAAAGAAACGTATTCTTAGATGGAAACCAGATAGGTAAACTGGCTAATGTGAAGTAGGTAAGATAAAATGTAGGTGTCTTTTCCTCATGCATAGTCATAGCGAAGGTGAGCTGAGGGATGAGGAAACACGTTTATATAAGGCAGGGTGATGAAACGAAAGGAGCAGGGACTTTGAAATCAAACAGACTTGGTTCAAATTCCAGCTTTACCTTTAATTGGTCATGTGACATTAGGCAAATTAATTAAAATAGTTTGACTCTCCATTTCTTATCTGTAAAATATCTAACTCATGTGGTTAGTATTAGATGTTAGTATTACATGAGAGTTTCTGACACATAAATAATCCTAAGAGCACCAGGCTCATTGCAATTACTTCTCAGTTTTGCCTTAGGCCAGCCCAGCTTTGGAGTAATGGAATGTTTTAAGACAGAGTATTGCTCTAGCAAGTCTGCGAGGATGTGCCTATGTGGGTAGATGGGGTGGAGAGGAGAGGTAATTTCAGGTAGTAGAACTTAATGCCTCTATTAGAACCAAGCACAATAAGAAAAAATATTCCTTAATTTTGAAAAAACAGTTCATAGTTTCTCCCCTTGAGAGACATAATATCAGTCACAATTTTTACAAAGAAGAAATCTGAGAAATAGAAACAAAGTGAATTGCTCCCAAAGACAAATGAACTGCCTAAGAAGTAGTTAGAGGTGGAATAGACTCCGCATTCTTATGTCTTGAACTCTCTTTCCTTCTAAGATAATAGCCTAACCATTAAGTCTCTTGGTGTTCTCAAGCCACCTATTATTTTACTCTGGCACTATTTCCTCATTATAATGAAATGTGGAAGATACAGTGAAGTGAGGAAACTCAGTAAGGTGCCTGTAAACTGAGATTTCATTGTTCTCAGCTGATATCTCAGTAACGAACTCTTTAAGGACTGAGTTAAATTTGAAGTTTAGGGGAAAGGAAACAAAGTTTACTCTTACTTATCAAATGGTCTGAAAACATACAAATATTACAGATTCCTACATGTTATGATTTAGAATCTTGGAAGCATAGCAAGCTTTTAAACCCCCTTTTAATGCAACAGAATGGCAAAGCCAACTGAGATTAAAATAGGCTGAATATTATTTAAAGAATTACTGAGCCTAAATTCTAATTAAAAGTAACTTTGTTAAGTATTCATAAATACAATAGTATAGTAGTATAGAGATCCCGCCTTTTACACTTGTAAAGTTCAGAGAGGCAGTAGAAAAAAATACTTACATAAGAAACTCTTGCTTCAAACAAATATATTTTACAAACCAGTATTATTTTTTAGTCTGTTGAAGTCACACAAAATATAAGATATTTTCCCTCAACACATTTATCTAAATATTACTGTAATGAGGGGTTGAGTTAGAAAGTCTTAGATTTTGTTTCCTTTATTAATTATAGATCCTAAGTTATTTAACCTCTCTCATAATTTGTATAGCTGAGATCATTGTACCCCCCACAGAAACAATACTACACAACATCTAATCAATCACCAAGTCAATACTACTTCGTTAATATGTCTTAAGACTGTCCATTGTTCTCTATGCCCACTGTTTCCATTTTAGTTCAACTCACGTCTGGAATATTACAACAGTATTCTAACAGCCTCCCAGTCTCGTCTAGTAGTAGTAGTCCTCCCTTATCTGAGGTTTCACTTTCCCAAGCTTCAATTATCCACAGTCAACCTGGGTACAAAAATACTAAATGGGATACTACAGAATTATACTTCACAAATTTTAAATTGTGTCCTGAATATCGTGATGAAATCTCATGCCTTCCCACCCAGGATGTGAATCATCTCTTTGTCCAGCATATCCACACTGTGTATCCTCCCCGCCATCAGTCACTAAATTATCTTCTCAATTATCAGATTGGTTATCAGAGAGAGAGAGAGAGACCACATGATACCCACATAACTTTCATTATAGTATATTGTTATAATTGTGCTATTTTATTATTAGTTGTTAATCTCTTACTGTGCCTAATTTGTAAACTTTATCATAGGTATGTATGTAAAGGAAAAAAACAATATATACAGGGTTTGGTACTATCAGTGGTTTCAGGCACCCACAAGGGGTCTTGGGATGTATTCCCTGTGGATAAGAGGGGACAACAGTATTAGATCTCACTATTGCTACACACCAGTATGTTGGGACTCACTGCATGCAGCAAGCCTGGACAACCCTGTGTTTTTTTTTTTAATTTTGTTTAAGGTATTACAAATAGTATCTCTCTCTTTCTCTCTCTCCCTCTTTCCCTCAGGGGAGGCTGAGGGGAGGTCAACCCAGTGGTTTTAATTGGTTGGAGGGCTGAAGGGATGGCTTGTGTATTCAAGCAGAATACAGTGGGGCCTTGACTTACGAGTGTCCCGACTAATGAGTTTTTTGAGATACCAGCTGTCTCTCGGCCGATTTTTTGCATTGAGTTGATAGAGTAATTTGAGTCAACGAGCGCGGTCTCGGGACGAATTAAACTCGTAAGTCAAGGCCCCACTGTAAAAAAAAAAGGCACTTAAATTAGCATCAGGTGGGAGGTCACAAAGCCGAGTCAGCTGCTTTTGCTAGTTTCAATTCATACATCCAAACTGAAGATAGAAAATGCTCTGAGAAAGTATTATAATATATAATTAGAAAAGGAAGGAGCAGGAAAAGTGAAACAAGTGAACTAGAAAATCTGGAAGAGATTGATGAAGGTTGAGGAAAGAGAAAGCAGGATGAAAAATGAACAGCAATACAAAGGCCCCCAATGGCCTTCTGGGAAAGTCCAAAATGAATGTGGAATAGGTAGGGTGTGTGTTAGGGATGGAATCATGTCCCCAGCAAATTCATAGGCTGAGGTCCTCAGCACCTGTATCTCAGAATATGACCCTTTCGGAAACGGGGTCATTGGAGTCATTATAGTGAGTTCAAGATGAGGTCATCCTAGAGTAGCCGGGCCCCTAAGCTGGCTGGTGTCCTTGTGAAAACGGGACATTTGAACAGACATGCCACAGGAAGGGTGGAGCTACGGTACCGCAGGGCACGGACCCACCAGAAGCGAGGAGGCCTGGAAGGGATGCCTCCTTGTGACGTCAGAGGGAGCCCGGCTCTGCCAACCCCGGTTTCAGCCATCTGGCCTCTCACACTGGGAGGCAATCCGCCCGCCTTGTTCTAAGCCACCAGCTTGTGGTGCTTAGTTATAGCAGCGGCCCTAGGAAGCTAACTCAACTTTGCAAAATTATTTTGAGGCAAAAGAAAAGAACATCCTAATATCATAGAAAGCAAAGGCTGGTAGCTCAAGAGGTGCCCGATTGTCTCGTCTTGTGCAGCAGAAAAGTTTTACAGCTTTGACATCTGCAGCTCAATTTTATTTTCCTGTCTTACCAAATCTCTTTTTAGCGATTGTTTTGTTTTAGGGGGAAACAGAAATCACATAAAACCTGCTCTCTGCTGAACAAATTACAAGGCCCGTTCGGACCTGGGTGCTTGTAGGATGTCGTACAAACGGAAACCGACCTGACTGTAAGAGGGGGCCACGGACGAAGAGGATAAAACGCGCCTTTTCTCAGCGTTGGATGGGAAAGTAAAAGTTGAAAAGGTGAAGAAACCTCGATTTAACTATTCAGCACCTCCCTCCCACAGGTTGTGCGGCTCACTGCTCCCCTCTCCGCTGCAAGACCCGACTCCTGTCCCCGACTACGGAGGAGCCCGGGCCGGACCCGGCGGCGGCGACTGGGCAGGTTCCCCGCAATCCCTGCCCTCCGTGCCGAGCACCGGCGCCCGCCCCCTCCGCGCATGCGCAGCCAAGGGCGCCCTGGGTAGGGAGCGCGCGGCTCAGGTTTTCCCCGCAGCTGGGAGGGGCCGGAGCCATCGGCGGCCCAGGGGACCCCGGAAACTGCGGCCAGGCCACCGGAGGGGCCGCAGCCAACTCTGCCCGGCTTTCATTTCCCGGCCGCGTTCAAAGGGAGCGGGGCGGAGCTGGGGACATCCCGGTAGGGTGGAGCCCGGCGCCGCAGGCACTCCACTCCATGGCTTCTCCCGTGTCCTCCGGGGAATGGAAGCCCGCGCCCCTCTAGGAGGGGGAACCACACTCTCCCCGAGGAAATCCTGGGCGGCCCCTCTCCCTGGCGGCCCCGACCGCTCTGTTCTTACGCCAGCCGCAGCCAGGACGGCCTGAACTGTCACCGAGATGCCCACTAATAACCAGCGCCCTCCCAGCGGGCCCCCGGACGGCCCTGAAAACGGGCGTCGCTCGGCATCCGTCTCCCAGAGGCGCTGGCCTCGCCGCCC